TATTAAACCTATCACTCCCAATTAATTACATATATTTTTTTTTTTTAAAGATTTGAACATATATATGAAGATCAATATGTTCTTTCTGCAATTATAATCCAGTATAATGGATTGGAGGAGGATAACTTATCTCAATTCTTTGAAGCAAATAACAAAACAAGAAATGTTTTTATTCCCCACGTTAAAAGAGTTATTTATTCAGTATAATGCCGCAATCACCTCATCTACCCTTGAGCGCGTTTTTAGTATAGCTAATGCCGTATTAACTGCCAAGCGTTCTTGTCTATCAGATGATAATTTTGAAAAATATTGTTATTAGAAATTAATAAGAAAAATTTTTTATAAATAAAAATATCTTTTAATTTGATATATTATTTTGAATTTATAATTATATTATCAAAATAAAACTATATTATTTTTTGAAACATGGCTAATATTGTGTTAATAAATATAAGACATTTATTTATATTAGAAAATTTAAAAAAAAATTTATCATATGAACGGTTCATGAACGTGAACGCGTTCCTATTTTTGAAAGTGAACTTGAACGTAAACGCGTTCGATTTTTTTAGAAATGTTTACAGCACTAGAAAAAATAGCTTTGCAGTCTTCTAGTTTACGGTATCAAAAAAAATTAGAAATTTATTTCTTAAAATAATTTAAAATTTTTTTAGGCAGTTTTCTATTATTATATAAAAATATTTATGAAAAATAAATAAAAAGACATTTTTTAGAAGAATCCAGTTGTTGGCTTCCATTTTGGAGGTAAAATATTTTTATGAAGATGATTTAATATGCTAATGATATAATAAGAATTTGATTTGTTTTTATATCAATTTTAGAAAATAAAGTATTTAGACAAACACTTAGAATCAAGAAAGTAAAATAAAGATATTTTTTCAGGATATTCAATTTTTAAACTCAAATCAATTAAATGTTTAGAATGTTATGTATGATTATTCAATTGAATACAACTAAAATTAAAATATGAATTAATTTTTAAATTCTTTACTAGTAAATTATATTCATTTCATATGGAGTAGAATAAAAAATAAATTAATGAAAAAATGTTATTTCTAATACTGGGTCAATATTATTTAGCACTCCATACCCTGAACTCGAACACTTTTTAAAATTTGTATCTCTGTACCCAAATCAGGACCCTGTTTCTTTGTCAAAGGGTTAACATATCTTTTTAGATACATCGTATACATTTCAATTATTCTTAACCTTTACGCCTATTTTTAAAAGTTTCATTCTATATAACATATAAATAACTGATTTATGTTCCTTTTAACTTAAAAATATCTTATGTTTTAGACGTTAATAATTCAAAATTCTATTTTTGCGGCTTTAATCAGACGGAACATTTTAACCGTTTTGATCCTTAACAACTTTAAACCACTGTGATATAATATAAATCGTTATTGCGTGTTAAGCTATAAACTAATTTAATTTTAAAGCAAAGTCTTTAAGGAACATGTATACAAATCTTCAAAAAAAATATTTTATTTTGCTAAAAATACGAAGAATTTTATAATATTGGGGTAAAATACGGTTTTTTGGCAAAATGTGCCAAATCAGGAAAGGAAAATTTAGGTTTTTATGTTAAAGTGTTAAAAAGTTATTCGTTTTCATTGTTACCCCGTCAATCGCTTTATCCCGGTCTCCCTTATTAACAAGTAAGCACTTGAGACAAGGGGGGAATATAGCGCCTTAAAATGTAAGAGGGAGGGAAGTAGGGAGTTGCGAAGACGCCATTGCCATTAGAATAAAGGGAGGAAGGGTGGGGGGAATGTAGGAAGGTGTAGATAATGATACATAGCGTAGGTCATCATATAAAAATTTAATCAAATTTGCTAAAGTCTCAATTTTATTTTAATATATATTAACAGAATCACACGATCGCATCCGATATTCTATAAATTATTCCCCGTAGCACATAACAATTTAGCTGGCTTCAGAAAAAAACACCAGATCCTAATTAGATTCTAACTTGTCTATACAGAAGGTGACAAATGCACTCATCGTCTAGGCCACAGACGCCATTTGACAACAAATTTTTCTGTAATAAAATTATTATGCTAATATTTTAATAAACATAAAAAATCAATAAAACGCTGAACGCTATTTACCCCCAGGGAGGTAAGGGATATACAAATTTTGATAATTATCTTCTTTTTAAAAATATATGATTTCCTTATTTTTGTTTAGGTGGGGGGGGGGGTTGCATCATCATTATCTTATAAGGATTTGCTCATTTTAGTTTATTCTATAATAACAAAAAAAAATTCTCAATATGGCCGTGATTTATTTTTTTAAATATAATATAAATAAAATAGAATAATTAATCCTAAATTTAAATTTACTTAATTTCGGTTATGCATTCCCGAAATTGTACTAGACAATGTATTTCTCAAAAGCCCAAAATATTTTTGAAGAAATTGCAATCGTGGATTATAATTTGAAGGAAATTGAAATTTGAAATAAAGCAGTTCAGCTAAGGGTAACATGCCTTGCTCAAAAAAGTTTCGCGGAAGTGACACGAATATATTAACAAAACGTATAATTAAAAAAGAAAAAATATTTTAATATAGTATATACGAAATTTTTGTAGATTATTATATAAAAATTAATTATATTTTAGAATAAATAAACAATGAGAGTCTAATTATAATTATAGCATACAACAAAATGTTCAAAATAAAAAAAAAATTATTTGTACAAAATTTCTAAGAATAATGTTATGGTAAATGAAGAAACTTATATTTCTTTTAGGAATTCATTAAATATGGGCTTTAATCGTGTTCGGTGGACTGTATTACAACGGAGACTGAAATTGATTGAGAAATTTCTTTTTGGGGATATGATTAATATTGAAAAAATAAAGTTAATAATATACAATATATAATATAAAATGATAATTGCAAACGGAAATATCTCTTATACAATAAACTTAGCTCTTTAAGATATGACAAAAAAAAATTATTGTACATTACACAACATTTCATAAGTAGTATTTCTTATTATTAAAATATTTTCAATAATTTTTTTTTTACATTTTTGACAATTCTTTTTTAAACCGTTATGTAAATTCACAAAAGCAGAACTCGTCAATGATTCTAATTAAAATATTATTATTTATATAATTATGTTTTAAATTCGTGATAACACGTTTTAACAAAGTGTTAATAATGATCGTATTTGGCGTTATTACAATTGAAGTAGACAATTTATTTTCAAGTAGTAGTTTTTAATTCCGCGACAAATAGAGATAATCCTTCAAAAAAAAAACTCCACAAAAAATATTTTCGTAAATTAGCAGAATATTATTTTTACATTTAGGCTATCTCATTCTCAATACACAACATACAGGTAAAGTGATAAAATAATATATAATAATTAACACTTTTATTTCTATATTAATTATTTATAAACTATACGTCATTTTTGAAATAATATATTTAAAAACTACGTCAATTTATAACTATGACGGCGGAAGATTATTTTTTATGGGAAACTTTTTAAAATATAATTTTGTTTGCCTTTAATTTTTAATTGTCTGATTTATTATTCTAGGATTTCAAATAATTTGATAAAGAATGATTCAAAATAATAGTCGCCATTTATACGCTTCAACTGTGTCTTTTTGTTTCTTAAGATTGTTAATTTCTGTCAAAGTAAATAAAAATTCAGGGAATTAAGATAAGATTTCCTTCAAACAACATGAAATCCTCCAAATATAATGTTTATTTTTATGGAAATAATTTTTATAGAGATATTTATCATTTTAATAAATTGGAAAGATAATATTATAATAATACAATTTAACATTTCTAATCAATAAAATATATCTGAATTATAATATGTTATTTAAGAAAAATAATCAATCATAATATAATTTTAAAAGTAGTAATATATGTAATTAATTTAAGTATATGTATTGCTTCTAAAAATAACAATCCAGAAATCAGCAGACAATCAGGTTAGCTTATTTTTTAGTCCCATTCTCTAACTATAATGAATAAGAATTTCAAAATAAAATAATTTAAAAAAAAACATGATTAAACTAGAAACTTTTGCATTGAAGTATGGGTAATTATTTCAGTTATCCCTTTTCTCAAGTGCTAAAACACTTGTCATTTTAAAAATTGGATTCACAAATTAGCAGATGGCAATCTTATTGAAACTAGAACTCATTTGAGGCTTACTATCTAGTTAATCATTTTTAAAGGAAAGACTTTATCAGATGGATTAAATATTAATTATAAGTTTTATTAAATATAGATTTAAGGCTCAATGTGGTTTAGTGGGGATAGTATATATATATATGTTAGATATAGACCAAGGTCCTATGGACGGGGTTTTCTTCAAAAGTATAATGCTTTCACAATTTTTAAATTTATTTGAAGAAAATATATCATTTATTTTATTTGGCAATATTTCCTAAAATAACCTATATAGGTAAGCTAGGGTTAAATAAAAATATATATCTTCAGTAATGAGCTATTTACAGACCTGGTTGTGCCTGTAGCATGCATTGTAAATGCAGGGACCTCTAACACGGAGGAGGTTGGAATTAATTGGGCCATCGAAATTTCAAGGTGAAGGATGCCCTATAGTGCCTATATATCTATTTTACTGAATTATTTTATATTTTATGTCAGGTACCTAAATCTACGTAGCCTTTACTAGAATTAACTAAATATTAATGTGTATTTGAACAAAAAATGTTTTGTTTTTATTTTTAGTTAGTTTGCAGACTAACTATTAATTTTAAAGTTATTCATTAATAATTGATAAAAATCGGTATCATCAAAATTCATTATCTCGCTGTTTTTTTTAAAAAAAAATTTATAACTTTTTTATACTTACTTTTATTTAATGCAAAAATAATTAATCTTTATAAGTCTCTTTTTTGTAAAAAAAAATAATATATAAATACTAACTTAGAGTGTATAATCTTCCATTTATCTCTGCAAAAGAAAAATTTACAAATTTAACCATAATTATTTTTTCTAAATATCCTTCTAATAATATCAATTCATAATTCTTATAGCCAACTGCATTGTTTTTAAGATCACTCAATTTATTTGGAGTTCTCTCAAAAAAGGTATCGTATAATATTTAGGATTACTTTTCTTTTAACTTGGTTTATTTATTTATCTTAAATCAAAATTTATCATTTATTTTAAAACAACGTATTTATAAAAGTTGCCATTTGCCAATTCATTTTGATTTACTTTTGCTTGCTAACCGAAGAAATTAGCATAGCTTCGCTAAAATGTATTTGTTTTTCGCGTGTCGTTTACTTTTATATTTTTTAAAAAAAGAAGAATATGTTGAATGATTAAATTATATATTTTTTTTTATCTTTTAATTATCATGTTTATTTATAAAAATTAATTGAATATAACAATTAATTATAAAATTTTTTAATGTGTAAAAAAAGAAGATTATTTTTAACAACAACATTTGTACTTAATTTTGGACAAATGACTCAATCTACCGATATTACTACAAGCATGTTTTCAAGGATATTCTTCCTTATAGCCATACAGTCCAATTGCATTTTATCAATCTACCTTGATTATGATATGTATTATCAGGTAAATCATTTAATAAAACTTTAAATTTTAAAATAATCATAACCATATTTTAAGTATCTGACCTTTAAATAGCAATTTAACATTGAAAATTTAATTTTTATATTTTAAAAAAAATTTTGTAAGTAAATTTGTTAAAAAATATTATACATAAAAATTATTTAATTCAATTATTAGTTAACTTTTTTGTTAATTTAGTGCAGATAATAAATAATTTCAATATTAATAAAAAAACATTAATATTAATAGCATTTAAACATCGTTATATTTCAAGGTTAGATAAACCTTATATAATCGGTCATTGCATATAATCGATCAATATTCAATTCGTTTTAACGAATACGAAACGAATATTTAATTAGTTGATTCAATTTTCAGAATATAAATTAGATAATTATTCAAAAGAGAGATATTTAATCTATTGAATTTTAAATATTATTGATTTTGCGCGATCGATTATTTTTATTAGATTTCAGGTGTCTAAAATAATTAATATCAATGTATCATATCAACACTCATTTTTTAAAAATCTTGTTTAGAATTAAAACATCACATCACAATAATAAACAATATTGTACATAAAAAAAACGATCCTGTATGAATGAGTCCATATTTAATGTATATGTTGAAAAAATATACGTGTATAAAATTTCTTATTTTTAATATACAATTACTCATTCGAGTTGGTTTTATTAGTGGTCAATTTTTTAAATCCAATATTTTAGCCAAAAAATATTACGCATGCCTGAAAATTTTACTCGTAAATGACAGAAAGGTTCGGAAATCAATATATATTTTGGGGTCTATTGTTAGGTAATATACTGTTATCAGCAGAGAATAATTAAAACCTTGATGAAAAATTTGGAATTTTAATTATGTAATCGACTATAATAAAGTTAAATAATAATTTGAATTATAAGTTAAAGTTTATCAGATAATTACACAGTATGTGTATAATAATAGCCTCCAGTTTTTGGTAGTTCAGCCAGCCCAGGCGTGTAGGCAGGAATTTGGTCTGGGGGGGGGGATAAAAATTTTTAAAAGAAATATTATTGTTTTTTAAAAATATCAAGCATAAATTTATTAGGACTAATAACTATTTCTAATACACAATTTTAAATTAATGTGAATTATAAGAAAATTATATGTAAAGAATCACTTAAATGACCCAAAATAGAAATTTGAATTTTTTGAGCCTTTGAAATTTATATATAAAGTATAAAAAATTTAAATGTTAGAAATATAAATTAATTCACAAAAAGTTTCTTAGGAATAATTGTATTTTGTATGTTATATATTTACAATGTAAAATCCAATTTTTCAATTATCACATCCTTGCTTGTCGCCAAATGCCTTTGAATATTCAAAAGATCCAAACCTTTCAATCTACTTTCAGAAGTTGTACTTTATGTTTTTCAGAGACCTGCAAACCCGGCCCCCGGACCGGACCGTATTTAAATTATTTAAATATACCCGGGCCAGGCCCGAAATTTTTTTAAAAAAAAACACGGGCTGGGCCTGAATTTTTTAAAAAAAACACCCAAAGTCGAGCCTGAAAATTTTTTTTAAAAAAATATCCTGGCCGAGCTGTATCTTTTAAAACAGCCTATATTTGAAATCGATATTATTAGCTATAAAAATCAAAAATAAATATAACTTAAAAAAAATCCGGGTCGGGTCTGAAATTTTATTTTAAAAAAAGCCGGGCCGGGCCTGAAATTTTTTTAAACAAAGCCGAGCCTAAAAATTATAAAAAAACCCGAGCTGGGCAGTAAAAATTTAAAAAAAAATCCGGGCCGTGCCCTGAAAGATACTTCTGCAGGGCTCTGTTATTCTTCTTAAAAAAGAGAATGTTCTCTCAATAGTTTACTAATGGGAAGAGTTGCCAATATATATTAACCCTTTTAATACTTTGGGTATATAATCTAAAATGTGTTTAAAATAATGTAGATGGGACTCTATCATCCATAGTTAATCTTATAAACATAGTTATTCAGCTAATAAGACACATAAGATACTTTAACATCTTCATGATAAAAATCCAATAAATATTTTTTTTTCTATCACCATCTGAAAAACGTTGGGAAGGCTTTTATGGGAGTAATATTTGCTGGTAAGTGCTGCATGATGAATTAAAAACTATTCATTTATTTGGGTTATAAATGTATCTGTATCTAAGATATGCTCTTCTACTGATCCTATATTAATGTTTTAACTATGAGCTTGCCTTGCTGCAAGTCGAGGGAGACAAATATTAAACAAGTATAGCTCTGCTTTTGACTTAACAATAACAATAAAATATGAAATTCTTCATCAACATTAGCCCTAATTTCCTTGAATTCTAATAAAATGCTCTCCGCTATTCTCATCTTCTTAATCAAGTCAATGTCATGTTTTTGAAAATAATACATAAAATAGTTGTATAATTAAATAATACATTCTAATGAGAAAAAAAATTTGGAATAAGCATTAAATCCATAATTTTCTTGCTTCTCAAGAAATATTTCTTTCAGGCCATTGTGATATTTCAGTAATAGCAAATAATCGGCTCTTCTAACTCCATAAAATCTGCTACTGGATGGTGGAGACTCTATCTCGTTGGACAAGGTTGCAATTTCTTTTTTCCTGTTAGACGATTTCAGAATAATTATTATTTGACTAGAAATTTGAATATGGTAGATAAATATTACGCCACTAAAAATTTGAAAATAATAAGATAATATTAAGCCGGAAAACTTGAAATCGAAATTAATTGATAAAATAACTTAGTTGATGAATGTGATAATAAATGTAATTAAATATATATTTAATATGAGATAGGAATAAATATTAACAAATATAAATTAATATAAACAATAATATTTTTGAAAAATATATCCGGCATCTGCATTTTTTGGCTTAGAGGGGGGGGATTTGCCCCCCTCCCCCCCTGCGTACGCGCCTGAGCCAGCCCCTAAAAATTATTTTTAGTATTCTATTTATATCCATCAAGGCCTGCCAAAAATATTTTGAAAAGATAATAATCGATATTTTAATTTCGTAAAATAAGATATCATGAGCAACTTAAATCAACCCTTTATATCACAATTTTTTTGACGAGAAAAAATATGCCGCTAAGTCCACATGGCAGTTAAATATTTATTTTCTTGTAAAAACACAAAATTTAAACACTTTAACAATAAATTACAGATGTGAATAAATATGCACAAATTAATACATATATATTCCTAATCCTAATAGCCGGGGTGGCCTAATGGGTTAGATGTATGCCTGGGAACGCAGAGGACGCAGGTTCAATCCTGGTAAGGAGCATAAAAACTTTCACGTTTTTCTTCGATGACTGATGAGTAAAGACATATGGTAAAATGATTTTCGGAGATAAGAGATGACACCCCGGTCACCGACAGGCCTGGACAACCGGGTGCTAAGGATACTTGTCCAATAAACAAAATGAAGGAAACAAATGAAAATATGAATATGAAAGCTAGGGCGTTCCCTCCAAGCGACGCGCAGGGTGTAGACCTCCATCCTGTGAAAAGTAAAGTAAAGGTCAAAGCAAAGAGACAAGATTAGCAAGTATGAATATTGGGACACTTAAAGGTAAAACGAGAGAATTGGCATCAATGTTGAATAAGAGAAAAGTTGAAATAGCTTGCATACAAGAGACGAAATGGAAAGGACAGAAGACTTTGATGATTGGAGATGGATATAAATTGTACTATAATGGAATTGTTAGCAATAGGAATGGTGTCAGCATCATCCTCAGTCAAGATCTAACCTCCTCAGTAGAAGTCAACAGGATCTCTGATAGACTAATGAAGATAAAACTCTGCATTGTTTCAGTATATGCTCCTCAAATGGGTTGCAAGGAAGAAGAGAAAGATGACTTTAGAACTATCCTTGATGAAGCTGTAATGGAAATCCCTAAGGATGACATAGTCATAATAGGCGGTGACTTAAATGCACATGTGGGAAAAGCAAGATATAGCTACAAAAGGCATCATGGTGGTTTTGGATACGGAGAAAGAAATGACAAAGGAGAGCATGTACTGAAATTTACGCAAGCCTTCGACCTTGCCTTAATCAACACCTACTATAGGAAAAAGGGCAGTCATTTAATAACATATGAAAGTGGTACAAGGAAAACCCAGATAGATTACATGCTAATCTCTCGCAGAAGATTAAAAGATGTAATAGACTGCAAAGTCATCCCAGGAGAAGAGCCGCGCAACACAAGCTACTAGTCATGGATTTACACATCTCAAATAAATCCACTCAAAATAAGATAAAACTGGAACCATGCATCAAATGGGGTAAATTGAAAACAATGACAGATGCCTTTGCAATCAATGCAAACATTGAAACAATAAATTCCTCACAAGTCAGTGAAAAAAAGTGGACAGACCTTTCATCCAGCACTAGGCTTGACAAGGGGAGGTAACGAATCATACAAAGAACTATGGTGGTGGAATGAAGAGGTACACTATACAGGAGAAAAAACTTAATAAAATATGGTACAAATCCAAAAACCTAGATGACAAGACAAGATACAAAAAATCCAAGTGAATAGCTACAAAGGCGGTGGATAGGGCCAACGGCATACGATGACATGTATGAAGAACTACATACCAAAGAAGGGCAAAATAAGATATACAGATTATCCAAACAGCGAGAAAAGAATTCTAGGGATATAAACGGAGCTCCGAAAGTAATCAAAAATAAAGATGGGAAATTGATAATAAAGGAAAAAGAAATAATGAATAGATGGAAACAATATTTTCAGGAGCTTCTCAACTTTAATCCCCACATACTATATTTAGATGAACACTCCCCATATCAAAACCTTGTACAACCAATATAAGAACAAGAGATAATCATATGCCTCAAGCATATGGAAAACAACAAAGCTAGGGGCCTAGATGATATTCCAATAGAAAGCCTTAAAGCACTATGAGATGATGGAATACATTTCCTCACAAATCTATACAACAAAATACTTGGTAATGAAGAGGTTTTTCAAAAATGGAGACAGAGCTATCTAGTTCCTATCTTCAAAAATAAAGGGGATCCACACAATTGTCAAAATTACAGGGGCATAAAAATTATGTCACACTGTCTAAAACTATACGAAAAAATAAAAAATTAAGAGACATAATCGAAATAGGAGAGATTCAGTTTGGCTTTATGCCTAGAAGATCAATGACTGATGCTATCCACGCAATTAGGCAAATGAGTGAAAAATACAGGGAGAAGAACAAAAAGTTACATATGGTCTTTCTCGATCTAGAAAAGGCCTTCGATAGAATCCCAAGAAATTTATCTGGTGGGCGCTACGCCAAAAGGTTCCCGAAATATATATAAGAATAATACGGGATATGTATATGGGCCACACAACAATAGTCCGTAGCACAACAGGTACTTCAGCAGGCTTCACAATAGCCTAAGGAGTTCATCAAGGGTCGGCTCTCAGCCCACTTCTTTTCATTACAGTAATAGATGTATTAGCACAGTATATACCTCAAACAGTCCCGTGGAATATGATATTTGCAGATGATATTGTGATACTTGCCGAATCCAAGGATGAAATGAAAGAAAGATTTGTGAGTTGGATAATTATCCTAGAAAAGCATGGACTAAAAGTAAATAGAGAAAAGATGGAGTATATGGTGATAGGAGGAGATGAAACAGAGAGTATTGATATAAATGAATGGCAGATATCGGCAATTTAAAGCTGCAAATATTTGGGCTCCACTATACAAACAAACGGCACAATAGAAAAAGAGATAAAGAGTAAAATCAAGGCTGGTTAAAGTGGAGATCTTTATCTGGAGTGCTATTTGACAAAAGAATCCCGCACAAATTAAAAGGAAAAATTTACAGTTCCATAGTACAACCAACTATTTTATATAGTTCGAAAACAAGGCCAACCAAGGAAGCAGGCGAGAGAAGTCTACAAACTATGGAGATGAGAATGCTGAGGATGATTGCTGGGGTAACAAGATAGGATAAAGTGCGAAGTACAAGAATACTAAGTAGTTTAAAGGTAGTGCCTATTAAGACTAAGTTAATGGTAAACAGATTTAGGTGGTATGGGCACACAATGAGAAGGCCTATGACCTACATAGGAAATAAGGTTGAGAGTTTGGAAGTGAACAAACGTAAAAGAGGAAGGCCAAAACTTCAATGGGGCCATAAAGTTAGAGCTAATATAAAGATGTATAAATTAGATAAAAGAGATTGTATGAATAACATAAAGTGGAGAGAGATGTTGAAAGAGCTTACCACCAGAAAAGGTGATTAAGCTAAAGAGAAAAAAAAATTCATAATCCTAATTGGATTAGAAATAAAAAATATTTTTGAGATATAATCATTTTACCTTGTTGAATTATGTTCAAATAAACAAAATAAAAAAAATTATTTTTTTAAAAAAAAAGCCACCTTCAATACGTCTAAATAAATATAAAGGTAAAAAAAATGGGACAAGTTTTGTATTACTATGACTATCAGATGCTTTGAATTTGTGTTACAGAAGTTGAATCAAATGACGCTAAGTTTCCGGGGAAATTTAAGTCTCAGGGAAATAGGTCCGAAAATGGAAAAATAGTCGGGAAAATAATAAATTAAATACTCAAAATATTTTATTTATATAATATAATTAATAAAATAGAATGAATTGATATTATTAAAACAGTAGTTTAAGATAAAATTGTTAAAAATCATTTCCAGAAATAGAAATATCTTTTCATTAGTCATTCCCATTTTTTAGATTCTGAGAGAATTTCATTATGTAGATGCTGATTATAACGGATTGAAACCAATTTTCTCACTCTTTCATGGTATAGTCGATTTCTTATCATATTGTGTTTTTCCAAAATCTTTCTGAGGCTGCACTGGATAGGGGGATTTCTGGATAATTTTACAGCGAAGAGTGTTTGATTTGTACAAACCCCTTCTCACCAGATTTTTAGTGAAATATTTGCTAAACCTTCCCATATGGCACGACATTTCCAATATTCTTTACACCTATATTCAGCTAGATTTGCCATTACTGTTCCTAAATTTATATTTAAACGGTTGCGTAACCTATATAGAATATAGAGGGAGTTGAAAGTAGGTAGGCAAGATTTTGCCTAGCATGGGTCCAAAAGATTTGCTAAATAAAAGTTAGGACAGATTTTTTTTTGTTTAAAATATGCCTAATATTTTATAGGTCATTTTGCTATATTGTATTTTAAAGTTGAAAATTATCTTTTATTTCAATATAAAGCTAAATGGGGAATATTTCCAGGGAAAAAAAATCATTTTATCGGGCAAACCCGATATTTTACGAAATTTTTTTTTATTATTTTAAAACTTTAAAATTTTTTATTTTCTTATAGAAACCTCTTTACTCAAAACGGAATGAAATATCCAAAAATAATAGTTCAGGTAATTAAAAACAAAGCGGTAAATGAATTGTGAATGATATTGAATGCATAATTTTGTTTCTTATTTGTTATTTACTATAAAACTTTATTATTTTCAATTAGATTTCGAATATAAACCTTTCTTGAAATTCAATAAACATCTGAAACCTGTTTATAACGCTATCAAGGGCACAAAGCTTACATTAGATTGTAGAGCCATGGGAGCCCCACCTCCAATCGTGTATTGGCTACTTCCAAACTCGGATATTTCTACCAACAACATTCGAATACGCGATGATGATTACAATTTATATGATGCAATACCAAGGAATTCTATTAGAAATTTTGCTCCGAGCTTTAATAAATGGCCAACTTTTTTCAATAGATTGCGGAAGAAATCCCTATACGAATCGCAGAGAGAAAAAATGAAACGAAAGAAAAGAAGAACATCTATGGAGACGAAAGGTGAGGAACAATTCGCATATAGTTCAACTTATTCTAGATTGGTTATAGATTGTCTTAATGATACAGATTTTGGACAATATACATGCGTAGCACAAAATGAGGCTAAAATTATACAACAAACCACTATTGTCAAATTCATAAGTTTACGATCAATTATTTAAATATTATACATATACATATTAAATGTCTTGGCATGATAAACTATTTGCTACATTTATTTTATTAGTATAAGTAGTAACAAAGAGCTAAATATTTATTTAATTACAATTTATTGCCTATTATAGATTACGTTAGTTTTTTATGACAATGTTTAATGTACAAATTTAATATATAAAAAATTATTTCTAATGCAATATGAGTTTTGAAAGACTTGCTTGATGATTAATTTTTAACTAATATAAATTTAACTTATTATAACAAACTCTACTATAATAAGTTTAAGTAAAATATAAATCGAAACAATTTTAACCTTTATATAACTTTTAGTTAAGACCTGCGAGAGTTGGAATCTCTAAATTTTATTTACAGTAGGAAATTTTAAATCAGCTGATACCAGAAATGTATTTCAAGAGTATAAACGCTTGAATTTTAGAAGACAATTTTGAAATATATTGTGTGTTTTTAAAAAAAATTAATTTGAAAATGTATTTAAAAAATAAATTGTTACACTAACTATATTCTTAATAATATAACTCACTACAGTTACTTGTTACATTATTTCAAAAGTAACTAATTACAAATTACAATTAAATTTCAAAAATAACTCGTTATATTTTAAGCTTTATAAATAATTTGTATAATAGTGTGCACAAATGGAGCGTTTGCGTTTTGACATAATTTTTTAATAAAAAAACATATGCATCCCTTGTTTAAATTGAGGTTTCTTTTCATTTTTTATTAATATCGTCTATTCAAAATTTTAACTAACATTGCATTTATAGTAAATGCGAAATCTTCTAGTGTTGCAATATTTAACGCAGCTTTATTGTAGCTGATTCTTCATAACGTAGCTAAAATAGAGATAACTATTTTATATAATATTTAAGAAAGAATCATACCTTTTTTATTGAATTCGCTATTATTTTTATAATAGTATCACATATTTTATATTAAGGCATTGCAACATATATTTTTCAAAATTTATCATATATCATCATAACGATTTATATTTATAAATTTATACCTATTTATTGGCTTTATTTTGTAAAAACGCGGCCTTAAATAACGCAACGCTTTAACATAACGAAATGAGGTCTAAATTCTAAAAAAGAATTTGCTTTGATAATTATAATATCGTCTACCTTGTTATTTCTTTAATTTCTAAATATATAAGATATTTTTTACATATATATAATATTACAAAATTACAATATGAAGAATAAAAAAGTATTGGAAAATAAAACCTGTTTGAGTTGGTTTAAATGTTTTCTAACACTAAACGATGATTTTACCAATTTGTAAGTTGCCATTTGAAATGCATTATTTACGTTAGCAACGCAGCGCTTGAAACTCTCAATTTGTGCTCATTATAACCAATCATTTCAAATATTTATTTTTTATTTTACAAAGTTTAAACATTGTTTAGTTAAAGGAATTTTAAATGAAAATTTACTTTTATAGTTACATTCCAAAAATGTGAGTTGTTAAATACATTTAATTATATCTTTTCAATGTTACTTTATAAAACATTAAAAATAATAACGATAACATAAATGCATTCAAAAATTTACAATAAAAAAAATTGTTTAAAAATCCTTAGGTGGGTAATCTACATTTGCCCATAAAAATTTTGGGAATCAAATTTTTTATAAAATAAAAAATTGCCTTTTGTAAATGCTTTATAACTAAGATATTCATAATCCTCACCTGAATATATACCACATGGATAAAAAATTTTTTAAAATAATTATATCTATAATAAAGAATATTATTTAATTTCATAATTTACTAAAAAGTTATTTTAAATCACTTAACAATAACCAACAAAGTTAAGAAAGATATTTTGACCAAATTATTTGCCTTTCATCAGGGAAATATAGATAATTTATTATTTAAAAATAAAAAAATATTTATTTTACAATTCAAATGATAATTTATTTCTTCATTTTAGAATCAGAGGCTTCTCCTCAGGTATGTGCTGATCAAATAAAAGGTAAACGAACATATATTTTAAAATCTTATGTTGAAATATAATTTTTCTATCATTTTATTAGACCAGCCTCAACTACAACAAAATTTTATTGATAAGACACAGTCCGATAATTTCATCAATGACAATCGTAAAAGAGAAAATTCGGATTTCAGAGGTATAACGGATTGATATTGTAATATAGACATCTAGTATGTAAGAATTTAAGCGTATTAAAACAAATTTTTATAATTTAAATAATTTATAGCTAGTGACTCTTATTTTGCTGGAATTGTTTGAGCATTTAATATAGTATAACATGCGAATTTCAAACAATTTTTCCTTGGACTTTTTAGCTATTTTTATTTATAAATTAAAAAAAAAGTGTACACAAAAATTAATGACCAAAATAGTTTTGAAATTTACATATTAGAATATTCTTTTACAAGCTGGAATTTGATTTACACAAAATCAAAAACCATGGTCGTGAAACATAGTTTCTGATAATGCAATTAATAATTTTAAAATTATTTTAGATATCTCATTTTAATTTGTAATTCTTATATTAAAACTTAAATAACCGAATCTATTTAATATTTTTATTTGAAAAGCCTAACTGGCTATTTTATTTGTAAAATTATTCATTTGATTTATTATTCTTACAAAAATTCGAACGAATATACTGCATTTTTGAATCGAATAATTATATTATTCGCATCAGTACGTAAATTTCCTAATTAAACAGAGTTGTTAAAAGATACTTTTGGATCTAGATACAGATACATAGTCTAAAAGGTAATATACAGCTATAATTTTTATTATACTCTTATATACTCATAAACCTAAATTAGGATTCTATTGTGAAAATTCATTAAATGAGCTAAAAAATTTATTGACTCGATGTCACATTTAACAAAATATAACTTAAAATAATGATTTTTAGATTTGAATATAATAATATAATATATGAAAATTTATAATTAAATGATTATAAATAATTATTCGATTTCAGCATAAAATATTTTCAAAATTTTGGTCATTAAGATTAAGGCACCCTCGTTTTATCTGTAAAGACATTTTTAGCTAAACTAAAAAATATTTCTACCGGGCGCTTGAAGGGATAGTGGTGTTATATTTTATGAATAACAATTTTATATCAGGAAATTCTACCAAACATTGTCTGTCGGTAAATTATAATTTTTTGTGATTTTTATAAATGAAGGATTTTCAACAATTGAAAATGGCTGAATATAATAAAAGCAGTTATTAAATCTATTTTCTATAGTTTTATTCACCTTCACCTTTTTTATTTTCATTAACAGTGTATGATGTTTTCTATTAAAATTTAAAATGACAATTGTAAACATATATTTAATATTTATACCCTTCAATGCTTTACAATGTTGCAAGTTGAGATAATGCTAACTGAAATTTTGATATTTTTTGGCGTGGCAAACATTTTACTATCATAGATTTGTTTTTAATTTAAGATATTATTTTAAAATATACTCTATAAATTGGCCATGGAAAAACAATGTCTGAACTCGTTGATGCTTCATTGATTATTACTTCTTCCACTTCCTTTTCATCACTGTTAATATTAATCTAAAATAAAATTTTAAAATTAATATAATAAAATAAAAATTTAAATTATATGTTAATATGAAATAAAATAAATTTTGCATTCAAATATTTTTATTTAAAATATAAAAAAGCGTTAAATAAAAGTATATCAAAATGTATCTTAAAAAGTATCTAAAAAGATAAAGATACCTCTAAAATAATATCTACATACAGATAATTTAAATTATTTAGATACAGATACCAAATTTTTATGTCTAGATATAGATACTTGTATCTAGGTACTTTAACAACTATCCTAATTAGCATTACGAATAATAAAAACATAATTCGAATTGATTCGTCTAATATTCGATTTGAATAATTAATTTCTTTAAAAAATATTTTGGATTATTAAAATAAAAAGGTGATTTATAGATGTGTAAAAAAAAGAAAACAATTAAAAAGTAAGTTCTATAAGAAACATGTTTAATAAGAATAATTTCAAATATTTATGAAAATGATATTGAATATTTACAAATAATTCGAAAAATTATAGATCTAATAAGATAATTCGACAGATAATATATTTTCTCAATTCAAATATTGTTCGTATTCGTAAAATACGAATCAAATGGAATAATAACGAATAATTCGTTTTAGGTACAGCTCCAGCTAGGATACATATGTGGACTAGAACGACAGTGCAAAGTCAAGGATCCGATACAGAAATGTTTTGTAGGTCCAGTGGAAAGCCCGCTCCACGTGTTACATGGCTGACCCCAAATAAGATTATAAAGGAAGATGATGATAAATATAAGGTATTACTGATCACCTTATAATAATTTTGTTGTGGGATATTTATTTCCATATTGTTTATACTAGTTTTTCGAATTTTCTTGTTTTTTTTTAAACAGCCCCTACCCAGGATTGGCTAATTTTAGCTCCGGTATCAAAATACTTTTTTTTTGAAACAGCGCAGATTGGAGAAAAGAAAACACATAAAGTTACGCTGAGCTGACAAAAATTGGTTAGGTAAATTGAAGGGAAAAAAAATTAATTTTCTAAAAAAATAGCATTTATTCTTGAAAAATGATATTTTCTTTAAACATATTGATGTATAGAATTGGAGTGATAAAAACGATTTTAATGTTTGGATTTAAATATAAGAAAAACTTATAGAATTAATATAATATATAAGTATAAATAATATTAAATGAAAGCCTAAAAAATTTTTATTCACAAATATTTTTTGAAAATTTTATTTGAGCATAATAAACTTTATGAATAATTTTTTGTCCAAAATGCTCCATCTTAAATTTATTAATGAGAATATTTTAAATAAAATCAAAATAAACAGTAACTACTATAAATCTTCATATTATATAATATGAATAAAATGCTATGCCAATATTTAACTGATAATTTTTTCTCTATATTTTATAGCAATTTTTTCTATAAAATATAAAAAAGGTACGGGTGATTATAAAATATGATAATATCATAGTTAGTGCATAATATACAGCAAAAATTGAACCCAAAATTGACAGTGCTCTAACGTGGCCAAAAATTAATATTTTAATTCATTCAGCAAAAATTGAACCCAAAATTGACAGTGCTCTAACGTGGCCAAAAATTAATATTTTAAGATCTAGTTTTTATTTATAAATTAATGAATTAAAAACCACTCCTAGCTCAGAAATGTTAAATTAAGCACTCCTATTCTAGACCGACGATATGTTAAAACAAAAAAGAAAATATATGTTTAAAATAAAGTCTAAAATAAATGACTAATAAAAATATATTATAAATGACATGTAAGCTGTGAATTGTTAAAAAATTTGAACGGAAAATTTCTAAGCCAATGTTCTGACGAATAGGATTTACAATTTTTTCTAAAATTCTCTTTTTGTCGCATTAATATTTTCGGCAGAGATGTAAAAAAAAATGAAAGGAATATTACATTGTTTTTTAATTGATGGTTTTCTATAAATTTATTTAAAATTAATATTCCACCTGCTGAGAATTGTAAATACATTTTTGATAATTCGATTCTTCAGTAATTACAATAAAAGGGTGAAAATATCGATTAGAATATTTTTTTTACTTTATAGACAAAAAATGTGATTATTTTTTTTAAATAGTAATTTTGGATATATGAACGTTCATAGGCATATCCAGGATTTTGCTGGGTGAGGGGGGGGGGGGTCAGGAATAAGCACTATTAGATTAATTTTTTTTCTCATATATTTTATCTTATCTTATCTTGCACGTTGGTCACAGACCTGCCCAAAATGAGCGAACGTGAATTATATGAAGGCCTATCGTCGATTTTTTTCTCAGGATACCGACAAACCTATTACCCAGAAAATAATTTATGAGTGGAACTAAACCCTCTACCAATATAGTAGTAAGTTTAAAATTAGTAGGAAATAGAAATATAAGTAAGTTATAATGAGAAGTAGAATAAAAAAAAGAAAGTCATATAAAGGAAAAGAAATCTTCCAAATACAATGGTCTAAAAAAAATTAATAGTTAAGTCTTTCTAAGGGACATTAAAGGTGCCATTATCCAGTTACTAAGTAACTAAAAAAACAAACTCTATATCTTACTAAATAACTTATGTCCATTAAAGCTATAGTTTAATTTAATCATCAATAATTAAAACCAGGGTTGTGCATTTGACCGGTCAAATACAATTCGGTCAATTGACCGATATTTGACCGGTCAAATTCAAATAAATGTTTTTTACACCAATATTAACTTTATTTTGCATTTATATAATATTATAATAAATCTATGTATAATAATAAATATCATAATATTTTTTAATTCATTCTATAGTCAATGTTTCACCCTCCGTGGCAGAGTCTTGTTCCGATTCATATTCAATATCATTATTTTCTTTAATATTTTTAATCAATCTTAAATTATGATACACTCTTACTAATTTTCCTGCTGTAGAAGCCTTTAATCTATTTCTGTTTTTCGTGTGAATATTGCCCCAAACCGACCAATTTCTTTCAGAAGAAGAAGTCGAACTAGGAAATGTTAGTAAAATATTAGCGACTTCTCTTAATGGGCAAGGTGGGCAAAATGCATTCCACCAACTTGAGGCCGAAATTTGATTGTTTCTTATGGAAGTTACAACTTTCCACATATTATGGCTATTAAATATACCGCTTTTGCTTCTGAAATTTACTATATTACTCAAAATATTTTGATTATCACCACCTTGTAAAATACCCAATTCTTGTATTATATTACATGCTTCATCAAATTCAGTATTAGTAAGATGCTCCCCTTGATATTGGGGGTCCAATAAATAAGCAGCATTGTGAGCACATGTATTTATATTAGTTTTTCTCTTTTCAAACATAACCTTAATTTTTTTTTCTTGAGATGGAGAAAATATAGAATCATGGCATGATTGTATTATGTGTTTTTCCAAATTAAGCATCTCGTTTTTTACTTGGGCCAAAGTACATTTATCCCCTTGCACTTTCAACAATGAGGTAGCTAAAGGTTGGAGTATAGCTAAAAATTTTAAATTTTTCGTCCATCTTCGTTTAATATATTATTGGTAATTTCTATGGGACAATTATCACAAACAGCTTCTTCAACAACTGATGCTTTTAGAGCTTTCTTGCATATTTGAATATGCTCCATACATTTTATTGACGATGCCCATCTTGTTTGGCTAATTGTACTTAATGTAGATGGTATGCCATGAAGATTCTTATTACGGGAAAATGCAGCTGGTATGTGTTTATTCTTGAAAAATTTAACAATTTTTTTAATTATTGAAATATGGTCACTGAAGGCGTCCAATCGTTCAAAATCGTGAAAGAATAACTGCAATGTATGCGCTGCACAACTATAACATTGTATATGATTATAAATAGATTCAGATTTTAGAATTCTCCAGGCTGCTTTCATGTTAGCGGCATTATCAGTAACTAAAGAATATACTTTTACCGGATTCAATTCATGAATTACATTTTTAAATTCCTGGGCAATATAATCTGCCGTATGGCGATTTTCCTCAGTATTTAGAAATTTGTAGAACACTGGAACAGGCGTCATCACCATAAAATTAATAATACTCTCGTTTCTAATGTTGCTCCAGCCATCTGATACAAGTGATAAGTAAGGAGCTTTATCTATTATATCTGCAACTCTCACCTCCATATCACCTGACGCTTTGTCTAGAAGATATCCAGCCAGCTGCCTTCTCCTGGGTAATGTGTAAATAGGACGTATTTTTTTAAAAAATTCTTGGATGTAGGGATTTTCAGTGATGTGGAAAGGTAAATTGCTCGCATATACAGCCTTTGCAAACAATTGATCCAGCTGATTTTTTTCTTTGGGATTAATTCTATCTATGAAACCGGTTATACAAGATTGAGATTTATATTTAATCGCCTTGCTTGTAAATTGATTAGAAATAAGGGAATCAAATTCTCCTGAGTCACAAGACAAAATATTGTTCATCTGATAATCATTCTCACTAATTTCACCCAATTCTTCATTAGAGTTAGACTTAGAAGTATTACAAATTACATTTGTGATATTTTTTGTAGAGGTTGATATTTTGGAATTTGAATAAAATTTTTCCTTAATTATAACAGGGCACATAGTACAGCTGCTTAATAAATGTTTGACCATTCTATCAACGTGGGTGATATAGGACATCTTGCAAAACTTGCACACTGCTTTAACTGATTTACCATCGCGTACTTCTTGAAAATGTTTCCAAACATGATGCTTTGGTTTGACCATAATCCCTAATATATTAAAATTTAACAAAAAATGATTTTGATTATTGTAAAGTTAATCAATCTTAACTATTTTATAATTATCGACCAATTATTCCAATAATTTCTTAATATAATAAATATAATATAATAAACTTTTTACCAGAATTGAATAATATTCTGTAAATCTGACCAGAACAATTAAAATGAAAATTAATTTAAAAAACCAAATATAGCAAGTGTAAGTAAAACAAATGAGAATTAATATAATTTATACTCGGCTAAATATTAAATAAAATTTAAATTTATTAAAAAATAAGAATAAAAAATTATATTATGATTATAATAAATCGGGTATTTTTATTTTTTTTAAGAAAAATGAATTGAAAAAAATAAAGAAGGCGAGAAACGGCAATGATTAGGCAAAAAAATAACTACAAATATTACTATATTTAGAAAAATTACATAATTATATTTTAATAAAAAAATAATAAGATTGATAAACATGCTTTTAATGCATACTAGTTAATTATATCAAAATATTTATTCGCCATTAATATTTTAGAGTATTTGACCGTATTTGACCAGTCAAATACTCCTCCGGTCAATTGACCCCGGTCAATTGACCGACATGCCAACCCTGATTAAAACAATTTAATTACTTTAAAATAGAAGCTTGAATTCTAAGATATTAGTTCCAATGATGAGATTCCCTTGGGAGACTTCTTACAAGAAATATAAATCTTCAGCAAGTATTCGTCATATGCTCATATATAAGACTCAAAATATGTTTGAAGACCCTGTCAATCGAAGCTCTCTTTAGGAAATCCCAGGATAAATCTAATTCAGTCAAGGATCTTAGAATTCTCCCAAACCAACTGCTTTTATGGGATAGAAAAGGTTTTAGAGCAGAGTCTTCAGGTGATTGATCTATAAGTGCTTGATGGATTAAATTATTCAAGGGGTGTCTCAAAATATGTCCCACCAACTCAATTTTCTTATATTCTATTGTTTTATGAATTGGAAGGACATCGCCACTCGCCCATAACATATAATTAGTAGTATTTCGCGGATAAAAGGTCCTAGTTAAATACCTTAAACATTTGTTTATAAAAACTTGCATCTTGTTATTATCTGATATATTATCGTTCCAGGTTCCATACCATAGTATAAGGAAGTTAATATTAAGACTTTAAAGAGTCTTATCTTTAAAGGAGTAGATATTTGCCTAGATGACCAAATCTTCATCAAGGACCTTTACCCTAGTTTTATTCAATTTAGAGAGTTGATCTTTCTTTGTACCACCTTTCTTATCCAATAGAACCCCTAAATATTTTAAAATATCCGCATCTGTAAACGTATTACCGTCAATATTTAGGGTCGCCTGCTAGGAAGTATAACACGATGTCATCATTTTGGTCTTTTCCTTATGTGTTAGACCAAAGTGTCCCGCCTCTACAATGATACTGTTAATAACTGATTGGACGTCTGACACCGATTTACCTACAAGGCAAAAATCATCTGCGAAAGCGATAATATTTAAATCTCCTAAGGACCACTGAGCCGAATGTAAATTTCTAACTTTTAAAATAATATGATTTGTAATAAAGTTAAAAAGGAGAGGCGATAGAATACAACCTTGTTTCAGACCCTTCATTATCGGGATTTTAGGAGATTTGTGGCCAGCATGAATAATATGCATTGAATAATCTTTATAAATTAGTTCTAACAGACTTACCAAAAAAAATGGGGTATCTACCTCCTCTAATGTCCTCCAAAGTTTTGAGAGTATTACCGAATCATAAGCTTTCTTAAAATCCAAGGCCACAATAATTAACTGACTCTTCCGAATTAGTGCTCTCTCTAGTTGAATTTTAACTGATAGAATCGCCTCTAAAGTGTTTCTGCCTTTCCTAAACGAGACCAAGGAATCTATAAAAAGAGGTTCAAGTAGCGGACTCAACCTATTTAATATAATATTCGCAAATATTTTATACACCACCGAATTTAGTGCTATTCCTCTCCAATTTTCAAGAAATTTAGGATCTTTCATTTTAGGGAGATAAATTAAAGTGGCAGTAATCCAATCATTCGGACACGTCCGTTCAAACCAAACTCTGGATATAATAGGGAGAAGAATCTCTGCACATAAACTAGAGTCAGTCTTCAGATATTCACTATGTACCAATATGGTATTGATATTAATATTGCTGAGGCTAGTGGGAGAGACTGAATATCTATGGAATCTTTATTCAACTTCTATCAAATCCAAAATAATAATCAAAATATCGTCTGTAATTTCTTTTATAAAATTAATAATCAAAATATCATCGGTAAATTCTTTTATTAAATTAATAATCAAAATATCATCGGTCAAATAAGAAAGGTTAGAATAAAATGATACTAAATCAGACTAATATCCTCGTTAGAACTAAAATGATACTAAATCAGACTTATATCCTCGATTTTATATATTTTTCTATAATATTCGTCAAATCAGAAAAGTTAGAACTAAAATGATACTAAATCTTTATTAAATAATAAGTTAAAAATATAATCAACTAAATTAAAAAAAATTAAAATAATCAAAAATTAAAAATTATAATTAAGTTCGTAAAATCATGATCTCTCCTTATATAAATACCACGAATATATATATACTTTTCTATAACATTCATTTACATAATGTTTTACAAACAAACTGAAAAAAATCTTGAACTTTCTTTAATTTGAATAATCATTCTTTTTTATTCATCTTTCTTTAAATCATTTGCATTCGAAATTTAATTCTTTTTTCTTGAGTAGATTTGAATATCTTTCGGCTTCGTAATTTGGTTTAACAATTACAACACACTATATAGTAAATCTTGACCACAAGCTTTATGATTCTTCAGTTTTTTAATAATTCCAACTAGTTCGGCTCTAGTTGGGTGGAAAAGCCTGGCATCCTTTGAGGGAGATTGTAAAGTAAATGGACTTTGTTGGTTTTGTGGAAACTGACTGTTCGAGATATCGTTAAAAATATCAAAAAAAATGCTGTGAAAATTATTTAATTTACAATATATAAATTTAAAAATTTTATAAAATTATATTTTGTCTTCAATAAAATTATAATAAAAAATTTATGTGTATTGTAAATATTTTTATGGGGAAAAATTTTAATTCATCAAGTATATTAATATCTAGACCTACAGGTTTAAAAAAAATACTCCGGCTGGGCCAGGCCATATATTTTAAAATCAAATATTTTACATTATTAGCTATAAAAATATAAATATAATATATTTATAAAAAAATCTGGGCTGGGTCGGGGGCGAAATTTTTTTTATAAAAAAATCCGTGCCTGACCAGGCCTGAAAATATAAAACCCAGGCCGAACCTAAAAAACCTAAAAAATTATCGAAAAAAAATCCGGGTGCAAATGGTACCTCCGCATGCCTCTGATATTAAACATAGCCCCTCCCACAATACTTTTTCAGATCTTAAATGACTATTCTTTTAAATATTGAACATAAAATATTTGATAACTTTTGATTTATATTACAATTATTGATTTATATAAAATATTTTCAATAGACAAATTATTAAAACACAATATCTACCAAACTTGTGCTTGGCCCAACTTGAAATTTTGCGTATTTATGAATTAATCTTAAAAAAATACCGATTTGAATTTTTGATCATTTTTAGTTTTTCCAATTTTTTAACAATATTAACATTATATAACTTTAAAGGTTTACCATTAGGCTATATAAAGAAATTTAAATAACGCTTCTAGCTAAATTTAAATGAATAAAATGCCACAATTTTTTGATATTTAAAGCCCCATATTTCAGTCGTTGTTTGGAGTTGGAGGCTTAATTTTTTTTTTAAAATGTACAAACTCTTGTGAATTAGAAAAATCATGTTTTTCTGTTGATTTGATAAATGGTAGTATAAAAAGATTTTAATACACAATGTTAAAATTAAATCATTATGAATTTCTAAAAAAATTTTCTTTTTTTAAAATTTATTCTATTCCACTAGGTTCTCAATACAGTGCTCCATAATGTTATCATTTTTTATAATTTGATCTAGATTTATGTTGAAAGAAAGAAATCATATCGAATCTACATTTAAATAGCTATATCGTTATATCACCTCTAACTCCAATAAAAACTAAATTAATTATACCTTTTTTTTACCAGGTTTATCTGTCTAACTATAAATAGGGTGAATTTTTGCTATTTTTAAATCTAATTTATTAATTTTAAAAAATTGTAAACGAAGATAAGAATAAGAAAAATAATAGGAAAAATGCTATCACTATTTTTAAAACATCTATTAATTGCATAATACCGTATTGGGATATGGAATAAAAACCTATAAAGATTTTTGAAAATTCCATGCATCTTCAACTTGTCAAGAATTTCTTCTGTTTATTTCCATTGAATATCCCTTTCCATTCCTATCTATTTTCTCTTCTTGCCTAATAGAGTTTGTACCCCTATAGTATATTTATTTTGGATCAATTTAAGATATCCAGGAGATTCATATATAAATCATATTATATTATATTAACAATTAATGAAAATATTGTTATATTATTGCTTAACAGTTACAACTCCTTTTTTAGAAAAATATATAGGAAGAATTAAATAAATATGAGAACGTTCCTTTAAGGCTGAAACTTTTCCTAATTTTTTTTTCAAACATTTTCTTAAATCTGAAACCTTCCCTGTAAGTTTGGGAGCTATCCCTTTATGAATGTAACTTTTCATTTATTTCTTTTTTGCATTGAATGAGGAATTCTGTAATATATAAAATATTGATTTCAAAAGTTTCTTCTTATAGTTTATTCGCTAATTTTTGCCTTTATTCGGGATACAATATTATCTATGATGTAAATCATTATATAAATTAATTTTTTCAGATAGCGTTATTTCAAATTTTTTATCAAAGATATCCTAAAATTTTTTGTAATAAAAATAATGTAAAATGGCTTTTTAAATATGCTACAAAATTAAATTTTTTGAAATGATTCCAACTACTAGACTCAGTCGAAAAGTTTATTATTATTACGCAATAATTTACAGGTTTTGGATAATGGAGACCTGGTTATTAGAAATATAAATTGGGATGAAGATATGGGACTATACAGTTGTTTGGTTCACAATAAATTTGGCAACGATCACAAAGAATCCTATCTTTATCCATTAAGCAAATTAAATTAATCGACATTTTATTATTAATTAAATTATACATATTTAAAGCTATTTAATATTATTTAAGTTGATCTCATTTTATGATTACACTATAATATATTTTTTAATTATATCCAAAAATGTTAAATTGTATCGTTTTTATATGTATTATTTGTAAAATCGTGTTAATACAAAATGTGTTTGTAATAAAAAAATTTGGGAATAATATATTTTTAATAAAGGGTTGTCCAGTATCATATGGGTAATCTAGTTTGCCCATATATATGATTACTCCTCTAACCGTGATACTTGGATAGATAATTTTTGGACATCACTAATTTTAACTATATTTTAGTATACCTCCAGTTGCTTCAACCTAGTCACACATTCATTAACTTGATAATAGCCTTATCAATACTATACACCATCCACTCATATTTGGCATAGAAACTAAAAAATATATAAATTATATTTTAAAAAAATTTGTATTAAGCAAAAATAGTGTACCTATTAATTTGCTGGTCTTGTTGATTCTAAAAGACATAATAAATAAATAAATTATTTGCTAGTTTCAAAATTTTGGTCCTTTTTAAATTAAGGATTGGCAATTTAATTTATTTGATAAAGCTGTACCCATCGAATACAATCGGGTTCGTAAAAATGAGAATTCCAAGACTATCCAGTAAAAGTGTATGAAATAATTTACAGTGATATTGGTAAGACTATTTTTTTTATGGGAAATAAAATAAGTTTGGATAAAGGAGGAAGTTGCTACCCTGACGTTATATTTAATGATATTTTAGATGACTAGCGAAATATCTTCAAGTATTAGACTGTAGAGAGAACTCCTAAATCCTTATTTTCCGACCTCATAGAATTTTCCCTCATCCGTTTAATCATATAATAAGCAAAACTGCTCAATTAACGGTGATTTATGTTATAGAATGACTATCTATAATGAAAATACTATAATGTCCCTGATTCTTCAACTTAAGAAGCTATATTAAAATACTCTTATTTTAATCACTTTTCGTAACAAAATGAATATTACATAATAATTTAACTTATGAGAACATTTCATTTATAGACCAGATAATATATTATGTGTAAGTAAATTAAAAGGTAGTTTGAAAAATATAAGGTATGAGCATTTTCTGCTCCCCCCTTTGACTCCTAACAATTTTTGCAATTTTTTTTTAAAGTAGGGTGTAAATCCCTCAACTTTTATAGAACACCTGCTTAGTTATATAAGATTTGAAACGTCAATGTATCAATTTATACCAAATAGCTTAAACCTTATCGTTTGGAAAATGAAAATGTGTAAAATTTATATTGCTTTGAAGAATGAATCAAGATATAGAAATATAACTATTTTTAAGCCATGTTTGTAAATTTTTTAGACCTATTTTCCCTTATGAGATGAATAATGAATACCGATTCCTTCTGTAAGATATTCTTTTCGTAATGGATATGTAGCTTTAGGAGGTAAATATTGTATTGTTAGATTTACAAAGGGAGTGTGTTTAAAATTTCTATAATTTTTTAACCCTATTTAGATACCACCCCCCCCCACCCCCCCCTCTCCCATAAATTTATATCTTCTATTATAATTAATTATAATATGCATGTACACGCTAACAAAAATAATCTAACTCAAATGCTTTACCTTTAAAACTAATAAAAAATTCTTAAATTACTCCATTTTAAATTTTTTTATCAATTAGATTTTCATATCAAATACTTTAAAATACCAATTTGGTTTTCTGATTTTGCATTTTTCTGAATTAAAATGGGACTGATTCAAAATGAACATTTAATTAATTGGAAAATAAACATAACATTTTGGATACTCAAAAATCAGCACAAAAATGAATATTTATTGAATTTAAACGACCTCAAGTGTTTAGTTTTGTTTTATTTTGATGTGTACGCACATCTAATAATATAATAATTTATACAATAATAATATATACAGTTTATTTTTTAAGTGTTTAATACTTTTTTCTCCAAAAATGTTTTAGCAAAAGTCAATTAACCTAGCAGCCCCGAACCTGTGGTTAGTTGGATCATCGATGGGAATAGTCGAATCAAGTGATTTATTAGGCTTCTTATAAGACAAAAAAATTTTCTTCAGATTTTCAAATATAACTATAATGCTTTATTTATATGATATTCTATTTACAATTATAACAAATAAAATTACAATCTTTTTTGGCACAGGACTCATTCGCCCAACCTTTGCATACTCTGAATTAAATTCAATCTTCAAAAATATGAAAATTTTTATAATACTGTTTACATATAATAGAGACATCTTTTATTAATTTTTTAACAATGTGTTTTTTTTTGCTTTTTTATTCTGCTGTTTTAATAGAAGCTGCTTCTTGAATGGGGATGAGGTTAAAATCTCAGCCTTTTTTTCCCTTATTCCTTTAATCTGTGAATTAGTAGATGAGATTGGGACTGGGATAAATGATGGACTTGGGAGATTAATGTTTGAAGTGATATATCATTAATTGAGGTGTAATAGAACTAAATGAGTGGCTAGAAATAGAAGGAAAAGTGCTGGGAAGAAAATTAATAGATGAGTTAGGAATAGACATAATTGAATTGAGGAATTTGGAAGTGTATGTCAGAACTTTCTCCTAATATAAACGATCTATCATGATTTGACGAAGGAATAAAATCCCCCTCCCGAAAGACATTTTCATTATATATTCCACACGATCTAAATCCTTTTTAAATATTTTTTGAGCCTGCCAAAGGTAAAATATCATTTATAATAGAGTGAATATCATAATTGGAAAAAGATATCCCAAGGTGATTTCATATCCACGAATTAATACCAATGTTAGAAATTTTTTTAAAGGTCTATATACTATCCTATCTAAGGGTTGCAATTTATAAGTAGTGTGGAGGAAGATATAAAAGTATTTTACCATTATCTATACAATATTGAATAGCATGATAAGATAGATGGGATATGTGATTATCCAAAATTAACAAAATTTTATATTTCTGGCTGCATCTGGTATTAGAAACAACGTGACAACATATCAAATTCATCCTCTTGCATTTACCCAGATGTGTTGAATGCGCCAATACATTCTTGAGGATCGTCTCTAATAAAATGATTATAATTTTTTTACGTGGAAAAATTAACATGTGGGAGGGGGGAGGGATATAATTATCTAAGGCGTTAACAGCCAGCGTTATTGGAGTGCCTTGCTCTGCGGAGGTAATAGCTCCGACTTGTTTCTAACACTTCTGCTCTACAACAATCTTTGATGGGTTTTTCACAGTTGTCAAGCTTGTTTCGTCCATATTATAAATTGATATTGGTCTTAGATCAAGTATTCCCTCATATAGATTAAAAAATCAGAGAATGGCCTATTGATTAAAACCAGCAGCTCGAGCTAAACCAGTAGGTTCAAGAGATCTTAGAGATAATGTTGGATTTATTCTCAAAGAGAAACATTCTTAATGGGCATTTTATTAGTTTTCCAAGTTTGGGTATTTTTTTATTTAATAGAATAGCATGATAATATGCTTTAATCTTTATCTAATATATAAATAACAATATTATAATTTTTTAATACCTTTTTAACAGATAAACTATAAAAAGTTTTACTATATGAAATTAGATATCCAACCATTTTATTTTCCTCCTTATCATCAAATTCTTTTTGTTTAATATCTTGACCTATCTTTGGCATGCCAGCCATTTTATAGGTATTATACCTAATAAAATAAATAATAAATTCATTCAAAATTTATCTAATTCTATATTTATATATATAATATAATTTGATCTTATTATCAGGCCAAAATAAATCCTGCTCATAACTAAAATGTTCATATCTAATAAAATGTAATAATTTGAATCATATTATATTGTCAATTATAATAGATTTAAATAATATTTCTTTGCTAGATATATTATATTTTAAATAATTAATCTTATTATCAGGCTAAGATTTTGGTAATAAAATATTCATATATGATTGATTAAATATATTTATAATTAAAATTTAACAAAATATGTCAATCACAATATATATGTATATGATTTTAGATTGCAGGATATTTATTTAAGTCTAATATTATATTAAAATTGAAATGTATTATGAAAAATTAATTTAATAATAATTATCATTTTATATATTACATTTATAAAATATTATATTTTAACTAGACTATACTTTTCTTGATGACATATCATTTTCATATACAGTGTTATGATGATTTAATGAAAGTGCCTCCAAATTCGATTTCGTACAGGGCCACCCAAAATCCCCTAGTTTATACGGTAATGTAAAAAAAATCACTAAAAAAATTTCCTTTATTGCTTGATATACTGATTTTTTAAATTTTGTTATATTAAAACATTTTGACTCTATTTTGCAAATTGTTTCGAAGGGGATTATAAATTAATGAATGCCAAATGATCTATTCGTAACACAGTTTCCACAACGAACATCCCGCTTACCTTCTACAAACTTCTCTTTCAGCGTCACATAAGTGGGAGGGGGGGGGGTAATATCTATGAGAGGCGGGCTTAAGGGATAGCGTAAATTTATTTGGAAGCTATCAATTAAATATTTTGATGAAATAGGGAAAAATATTGCTAAAAATTTATTTATTACTTTTATTATAGACCTATTATAATATACATATATTGTTAAACACCGACATAATCTATTTATTGAATTCAATCAGTCAATATTTTAAAACTTATTTCTAAATAATTTCCTGCAATATTAATAAATATAATTCAGGGTATGAAATTCATATTCATGCTTGTTTTACATTAATAATTTTTTGATAGTTTGTATAAGTTATTCTTTTTAAAATATATGAAAGGATTACCATTATAATTAAAACTTGTAAATAGGTTTTTAAGGAAATATTTTTCCAGGGAATATTCTGTCATGTAGACACTCTTCCCTTTACACTACTCATATTATGAGTCCACATGCGGCAGCATGTAAAATTGATGTTTCTAGCAACACCTTTCTCACATACATCACATGATTAAGTACCTGTCTCTCTTCTCTATTGGTCTCTAATTCTCCTCTAACACTTTCTCCAAAATCTTCATAAG